GCCTGTTGAGATGTGTGGGTCCAGACTTACTGATTCCAGCCTCAACTCCTGCTCAGGCCACTCATGGTGACAAAGCCAGGTTCAAGGGTGCAGACATGAGGTCAGGAGCGAGGACAATGCTAAGAAAGTGGAGGAAGAGAGCTGCGGACATATTTCATAGATTTTATATAAGGTCCCAGGAACCCAACTGCCTATAAGAGAACTGGTCCTCCTGAATGGTAATCATTAAAAGATGGAAAGAGTAGATGGGAAAGGGTTACAAGGAAGAATCTATGGATCAGAAAAAGAGAAAAAAAAGTAAAAGATATGAAAGAAGAAATAAATGGTCACTCATTAATACAGACCAGAACCTGGTCGGCTGGAATCGATGAAAAGAGAGAGAGAGAGAGAGAGCAGTATCTCTCGGGTTACATGGAATACCAACGTTCAAAGGACTTGTACCACTCATGAAAGCACAGGGCATCCTCTCAAGGAGGTCTTGAAAGCCCGGGCAAGAAAGTGAGCTCGGTAGGTTTCCATGCTCTGCCGAGAATGAAGACAGAAAGAAGGCCACAGGGGACCCAGGTCTTGAGTGGAGCAAGGGTATTTTATTAGCAGAAATACAGGCTTATATATCTTTAGTAAAATGTTTACTTAGCCATTACAAAGAATGAAATTCCATCAGTTACAACAAAATGGATAATCTAATACATTTAAGTCCGCTGACATTGAAAAGAGTCACTGAAGGGAGTTACTGGAAGGAATCCAAGCAGGTACCCCTTCCTGTGATCTCAGTGATGAGAACTGTGTGCAGCTCCACTCATTCCCCTAATAGGAACTGATAAGGAACAGAGAATCCTTGAGAAATGGCACACAAAGGAAAAAAAATGCAACTTACTGGATTCTGTAAAGTTGAACGTCCCCTGACAGTAAATGACTTCCATATTCTTGCTCTTCTGCTCCAATTCTTCATTATCTTCCATTCAGTTTTCTGGTGTTGCCAGGCAGAACTCCTGTGGAATGGCTGTGGGAAAGCAAAGGGGAGATTTAGAGTCAGGATGTGACCAGGGGACTGTGGTGCCCTTGTCTCCAGGGAACTCCCAGGGCCTTGGTGTTTCACCTCTTCAGTGAAAAAGTGGACCTTTGACCTCCAACATCCTGTTGCCACCCTCAACTTGCCTATGTGTGACCAAGAATGAGGCTGTGCCAATCTGTTCCTCCTCCAGGTGGTCACTGTCTCCATGCATCTCTGCCCACAGCCTTCCTTGCCTCCTTCTCCTGCTGCTTCTTCTCTAATTGCTTCCTTATTTCTCTCCTCTAGTCACTGTTACTTTACTTCCTCCTTCAACCTCTAGCAACCCTAGAGTTTGCAATGTGGACACATTAGAAGGAGGAGCATCGGTGTATGGCCACTGTCTCCAATCAGTCCATTACTCAATTAACCAATACATTTCTCCAAGGGAGGAGCTGGCATGGACTTGAGAGTGTGTTGAGCCCTGGGGGAGGGAAGGACAAAAATTCCACATAACAGAGACTCTCCCGTTGCCTGGGGTGACCTGAGTTACCTGGGAGATGCTTAATGCTCACAGCAACACCTCAAGTTTCACAGACCCTTAGAAAGGATAGAGGCAAACACTTCCAATTTCATTTAGCCAGAATAATGTGACAAGGGTCCTCCATAAACATGTGGTAGCTGCCGGGTTTGCACTGAGACTTGGAAAATTGGGAGGGATGAGACTTGGGAAGGTGTAAGGAAAGGAGAGAGGATGGGGCAGGCCTGGGTTGGGGAGAAGGGGCAAGACTGTCTGGATGCAGCGGTGGGTTCTGAGAGTAGCAGTGACCCCAGGACCTGCTGCCCTGGGAATGCCCAATCCTAGGAGACCAGGTCAGCAGGGCTGTGAAAGCAAGTGTGTGAGGAAGCCCCGTGGGCCCTTCACAGACTCTAGAATCTGCAGATGTGGAGGGTCTCCAGGAGCAGCAGGACATGGACCTCTCACCCGGAAGCACCTTCAGCACATCAGCCTTGGCTGCTGCAGAGGCTGTGAAGAGCCCCAGGAGACCGGGCCCGGGCAGGGACCCCAGAGCCTGTGTGCTGTGACTCATCCACCCCCGGCAGCGTCCTTTACACGAGGAATTAACAGTGAGGACAAACATGAGGGGAAGTCACTAGTCCTGAAAGTGCAGGAGGAGAGAGTTCACATCGCACCCACCACCTCACAGGCACTGCAAGGACGTGGTCTCCAGTGTCAACTGACAATGAGAGTTTTGTGCCCACTAGGATATGGTCCTCATAGTTCAACATGCAACAGAAAACAGCCTGCAGTGCACAATACCCGAGATGTGCTGACCAGAGACCAGGTTTCCATATTAGTAAAAAAGCAGAAACGAGCAGCTCTTATAGGAAAAATGATTTTTGAAGAGTAAAGCAACAAAAGCTGATTAGAAATAGAGCACAATGCAAGTCCAGGACACAATTTCTCTATCATATCATTTCATATGTAAAGAATAAGTCAGAATTCTATACACATTTCCTTCTTCTTAATTTCAGGTTCACTTTTCTTAGCCACCAAACAGAGAGTTTAACTCTGGGGTTAACAGAGGGTTTAACTTCCAGAACCCTCTCCCATCAGATCCCAATGGAATCTTGTTAGCTACCTGTCTCCCCTTTCTCATCACTGCACCAAATGCCCTCCACAGTACACTCCATGAGCAAAAAGGTGGTTAGAATGAGCAACCCACGCACATATCCTCCAGTTGAGGCCTGCTGGATCTCACGGCATCACCTTGACCTTTTTCCCAAGGTCCTGAAGAGACACCCCACTGTGGATAGCAGATGGCAGTCATCTGTGCTCTGTGCAGTCACAGTCATTCAGTAAGTCACTGATATCAGTTGCAAACCTAAAGATAGAGATGCTGAAAAAGTCAATTCTCAACCTCTCACTTCTACATGTCCACTAGAGCTCTCACCTTCATGCTAACCAACCTGAAATCACAAGTGTTTTGACACATGTATAACATGCCTTTAAGTAAATTATAGCAGTCACAACTCGCTAGTGCCTACCAACTATAATACACAAAAGCCACTATATATGTTTATATATGTGTGCGGATAACTCATGCAGTCGATTTCAGCACTTTGTGAGCCCAGGGACTAGCCTGCCAGGGCCATCTGTCATGGAATTCTCCAGGCAAGAGTACTGGAGTGGTTAGTCACTTCCTTCTTCAGGGGATCCTCCTGACTCAGGGTTCTAACCCAGGTCTTCTGGATTGCAGGTGAATTCTTTATTGTCTGAGTCACCAGGAAAGACTGAATGAATCTTCAGATCATCACCACGAGTCCTGCCGATTCTGACAGATGACGGCAGAACAGGAACTTTGGTACAAGTGAAGGTGTTTCCCAGGTGGCTTAGTGGTAAAGAATTTGCCTGCCAATGCAGGAGACGTGGGTTCAATCTCTGGGTTGGGAAGATACTTTGGAGGAGGAAATGACAATCCAGTTCAATATTCTTGCCTGGAAAATAGCATGGACAGAGGAGCCTGGTGGGATATAGTCCATGGGGTCACAAACAGTGGGGTCATAACTAAGTGACTGAGTATGCATGGATATATACAGGGTGTTAACACCCCTCTCTTGTTATTTCCTTTGTGTTTTCTGGCCATTTCAAGATGACTGTTTGCTGTTAAATTAACAAAGAAAAGACCTCTGACGCATGAGAGCATTTAGCCTGAGGGGCTAAGAGAGATGTGGCCCTTTTCTGGTTTCCATGGTAATCAATGGGCCAATCTGCTGTTCATTCCCACTGTAACTGGTAGACTCCTTATCCCCTCAGAGTAAAGAAAACTATAGCTGCTGTCTTCTGCCTGTCCCCTGCTATCCACAGTGGGTATCTCTCTGAGAGGGTAACAGGCAGAAAGGCCAGGGGTCTCCAAACAGAGGAAATAGGCTTCAAGTGTCAGACATTTTTATCTCTCTCTTAAGCGGCAGGAATGATGCTTTTTTCCCCCCCCCCCTTTTCTATACAAATTTAAAAGGAGATTTCTCTTAAAATACTGTGTTGCCATAATGACACCTGGTTCCACCTGAAGTTAACTATTCTCAAACCTTGAGTTAACCAATGCACTCTTCTTATGGAAATGTTTGTCTTAAGCTATGTTAATGTGCTATGCCTTTACCCCAAACTCTGTCTTGAAGTCCATTCTGCCTAATGGTTCAGAACCTACTTGACAAACCATTATGCTATATTCAGACATTGTTCCCCTAATCTATGTAAACGAAACTATTTGTATGGTAATCTGCCTGTCTACAGGATTCAAGTCAATCATTTTATGGCCTGGGATGACTCTTCCGGTGCCAAGATTATCCCAAAATACATCTTATGGATGAGGGGCCTGGTGCCATTCTGAATTTTAAGACATTCCTTTCTTTCTTTTCTTTTCTTTTTTTTTAAGAGGCTTTTCAGGGCAAAATTTAATAGTACGAAGAGGTTTACAAAAATAGATTGATACTATTTTGGGAAATAATACTGTAATGTTTTCTCAATTCAGTTTTGATAAATTGTACCTGAGTATACAAAAATTATTTCAAATTCAAACTTGACTATATAAAAAAGGGAGAGATGAAATGAATTCAGCTAGATGACAGATCTGGCAAAATATAAGAATGAAAACAATTCTGCCTAGGGCACTTATTTCATGTCCAGATGTAAACACCACTTTCAGTTGATAACTTACATTCCTCCCATCACAGGTTTGGAGTCGATCATGCAGTACAGAGCCACACAGTCAAAACCTCTGTTTTGACGCAACACAAAAAAGTTGTTTCTGTTTCCTTAAACTGCCAACTGGCTGTCTATTTTTCTTTATCCCATTTATTTGTATTCACAAGTTAACAAGTAGCATCAATAAGTATTGTAGGTGAAGTGGGGTATTGCTGGATGAAAGGCTCTATAAGACGTCTTTACTGATCGAATCAGAAGGTTTATTGAGTTCAACCCTCACACCTTTTTCACCTGTTAGATATTTTACTTTAGCTCGCGCTCTCTCATCTGCATCAAAATACCAGTTATTGCGTACCTTGTAGCATATGCTGGTTGTACTTCATGAGGGTTGCGACGGTCAGACCAGAAAAACAGCAGTCTATCAAATTTGGGTTCAATGTCAGCAAACTGGGCTTTGCCTTCTGGAAAAATTCGAAGTATACCTCCACTTACCTTGGCATCCCAGTCTTTATTAAGATAATATATACATGTCACACATCTTCCATCTCCATTTGGATTATCGACATGATGTACGTAACCTGTTCCATTGCCAGGAGAGCAAGCAACCATGGCTTTCGTCCGGCTATTGATTTTGTAGTTGCCCAGCTTCCCGTTACAGTGGCGGATCAGGTCGTCCATGTTGTTCATGAGCAGCCCGATGGTTTCGCAGCCAGGCTCCTTGCCCTCGATCCAGGTGATCTTATCGCCTCGGATGTCCTTGGACGAGTCGCTCTTCTGGCTGACCAGCTGCCCGTCCGTGAACTTTCCCGTGTCGTGCAGGGCGCGCACCTCGTCGCCGATCTGCTGGCCGGTCTCCTTGCCCAGGAAGTCGTCCACCACGCAGATGCTGTGCTTGTTCATGCAGGGCACGATGTACTCCAGCGCCAGCTTCAGTGCCGGCATCGGCTTCGTCTGCCCGTTGGGCCGCAGGCCGCCGTGGCTCAGCCCCTCGCCCGGCGCGTTACTCAGCGGGTACAGGTTCGCCCTCTCCTGGTACAGCGACGGGCGGGCCAGCAGCTCCTCCTTCGCGGAGTCCGCCTCGGCGGCCGCCGCTACACAACCCTGGCTGCCGGGGGCCGCGCGGGGCGGGGACGCGGCTGCCGCGGGGTCGGCCGTAGGCTTGGCCTTTGCCTTCGCCTTGGCCGCGTCTCCGGAGGCCCGCGGACCCGCGGCCTCGACGGCTCGGTCCCGGCGCGGCGCCGCCTTCCTGGCCTCCCTGGCTTCGGCGGCCCTGGGCGGCGGCACGCGGCCCGGCTTAACGGTTGGCCCGTGCCGGGGGCAGAAACCTTCTCGCCGACCTGGCACACGAGCTTGTGCTTCTTCCAGTCCTGGCGCTGATGCTCCTTGCTGCAGTAGAAGGAGCTGCGGCAGCGGCTACAGCGCAGCAGGTTCTCCATCTTCCCGCACAGCTCGCAGTACTGCCGGTCTCGCTCGCTCAGGCTCGGCCCACCGGGCCCTCCGCTGTCATTGGCCATGGCGGCGGGGCTGGAGGCGGCGGCCGAGCAGGAGGGGTGGCGGCCGGACGGCCTAGCCTCGGGCCGGGGAGCGGGTGGAGCGGCAGGGGCCGTCACTGCGCCATGCGCCCGCCGCCCCTCGCCTCAGGAGACCGGCGCCCCGCGCCCTCGGCCCGGCCGCGTCCTCGTCCTTCGGTCGCGCCACGCAGCGCCGGCCGCCGCCTCAGCGCCTCATCACCGCCGCGGGCTGAGGGAGCGCGGCCTGCGCGGCGGACGGCGCCCTCCGCTCGGGCACGCGGGCCCGGCGCGCGAGACCCGCCGCCTTGGCCACCGCCGCCTCAGCGTTCCGGGCGGCCGGCTCGGCCGGCGGAGCAGTGCAGGGCGTGTGGGCGCCACTCGCTCTGCGCGCTCTGCACGTACACCCTCCTTTCTTTCTTAACAAACTGCTAGTGACTATATAACATCCAGCTAAAGACTAACAGGGGGGCACTCTTTCTGCCCCCTTCTGATGCCTATGTCAGAAACTTTCTCTGTCTCCTTTATACTTTAATTAAACTTTATTACACAAAAGCTCTGAGGGATCAAGCCTCGTCTCTGGCCCTGGATTGAATTCTTCTCCTCCGGAGGCCAAGAATCTCGGAGTCTTTTTGTGGTTCAGCAACAACCTTTCATCTCCAGGACCCATTTACTTCAGATATGTAAGATGTCCCATCTATTAACCCTTTGATATCTCTGTCAACTCTGGAGTTTTTTTTGGTCTCAAGTCCAGGCAAAGTACAGCACTTGCAGGCCTGCAAAATGTAGCCCAACAGCTTCTGCAGAGTATTTGGCTGGCCTGATTTGATGATTCATTTTTGTAGGTATTTCCTGCGCTTGTGAATACAACCCACGTACTCAGGAGCCTTTGGGACACTGAAACAGCAATGCCAATACCTAGATCTTAGAGGATTTCCCAGCAGGTGTTCCACTTGAGGGGACAGGTGTGGACACAGGGCCCAGGGCAATTGTGCTGAACAGCATCAGAGAAGAGGTGAGGACGGAGGGAGGGACACTGCATCTCCTCACCAGCCCATACCTCCACCACTGACTCTGAGATCAGGGAGGGAGGGACACAGGGTCTTCAGAGAGAAACGACCAGCACACTGAACACTACACACCCCACTGAGAGAATGAACTAAGCCACGAGGAATTGAACTGACAGATCATGCTCATAGACTGGAGACTTGGTACTGTTGACATTTTTATAGTACCCAAAGCTAAGTAAAAATTCATTGCAACACCAATCAAAGTATTAACATCATTTTCATAGAAATGGGAAAAACAAATCCAAAGATATATATGGAACTGCTAAGGACTCCACATAGACAAAATAACCTTGAAAACAAAGATCAAAATATCTCACCTCCTGATTTCAAAACACATTACAAAGATATAGGAATCAAACCTGTATGATACTGACATAGAAATAGATACATAGCCCTAAAGACCAGAATACAGAGCTCCAAGAAAAGTCACGGATACATGGTCAAATGAAATTCATCAAGGTTCTAAGACAATGGAATAGGAAAAGGGTAGTCTCTTCAATAAATCAGTACGATGAAAAGATAACCTACAGAAAAATTACAAGCCATGTATCAGATAAGGAGCTCATCCTCAAAATTCATAAGAAAATACCACAGCTCAAATGCAAAACAAAAAAATATTAAAAAGAGTAAATAAGGGAGTTGAGGAATGTGCAAAGATTTAAACAGACATTTCGGGAACAAGACAGACAAATGACTAGCATACAAAGGAAAAGGTTTTCAACCTCACTAATCATCAGGGCAAAGTAAATCAACACCTCATGCCTGTTAGTTTGTATATTATAAAGGCAAAGAATTAACAGGTTAAGGCCATGATGTGGGGAGCTAGAACTTTTGTACACTGCTGGTGGGAATGTAAATTGTGTGGCTATGTTGTGGAAAACAGTAAAAGTTTCCTTATAAATGTATGAAAGGAGTAGCATACGATTCAGCAAACACAGTTCTGGATATATATACAAAGGAAATTAAATCAGTATCACAAAGAGATATCTGCAGTCCTAAATTCACTGCATCACTTTCCACAACAGCCTAGATACACAACCAACTTCAGGTAACAAGTATTCTGTGCCTGAGCTAACTTTAGATAACTGGGAGAAACTTGGTGCTCAAAATAACTGCTTAAGTCTCTTAGCCCCTTAGGGAGGATGAACACAATATTATAATTAAAGTAACATGTCCAAAGTGTCTTAGTCTGAAGTGATGCCACAAAGGTTTTACAGATAGGGAAGCCTCATATACACACAGCCCCAGCCAGGGTTTACCCCAATCTTGGAAAGACTGGGAGGAATCAAACCTGGGAAAGTTTGAGTAAAGGTAACAGGGTGGGCAGGACTGGGGTGTGCAGAGCAGGGGCAGGGCTGTCTAGATGGGAGCATTGGGTTCTACGTGGAACAGTGATCCTGGGTCCCACTGCTCTGAGTCTCTGACCTGGGTCTGGTCAGGCCCAGGAGGCCAGGTCAGCAGGGCTGTGAGAGCCAGTGTGTTAGGAAAGCCAGCGGCTCCCTCACATTGTCAAGCGTCTGGGGGCTTGCTGGTCTCCAGGGGCAACGGGGCATGGACCGCTCCCACGTGAAGGCGCCTTCAGCACAGCATCCTTGGGCTGGAAGCTGAGATGAGCTCCAGGAGACTCAGTCCAGTCTGGGATGCCAGAGCCTGTGTGCGTTGACTTATCCAACCCCGAGAACACCCTTTACATGAGCAATAAACAATGAAGACAAACGTGAGGGCAATCTACGAGTCCTGAAAACGCAGAGGTAGCGAGTTCATATCTCACCCAGAACCTGACACTCACTGCAAGAACTTGGCCTGCAGTGTCAAGTAACTATTAGGCTTTTGGTCCCATTAGGATGTTGCCATCATAGGAGAATTTAAACAGGCCCGAAGTCCCTTGTATGTAAGACTCTGAAGGCACCAACCATAAGCCATTCACTCGTGTTTGTCAATGAAAGGACAGAGAAAGAGGAGTCTTGTGAGAAAGGACACTTCTAAACGTGAAAGCAAGAAGAGATGTCTCTAACAAGAGACGACTACAGGCGCAGCACAACAAAGCACATGCACACACAGTTTATTATTTCATTAAAATACGAGGAGCAAATCACAAGCTTACACATACTCCCTTCTTCTTCAGTTTATATTCACCTTCTTTTATCTCCCAAGTGGTCCAGAAACTCTCTCCCTCCAATTTAAATCCTCAGTTCATATTCACCTGTTTTATCTCCAAAGAAGCAGGTATAACCTGAGTGGTTCAGAAACCCTCTCCCTCTAAATCCTACTCTCCCTGAGACCTGTGTCCTATCTAATTCTCTTCTACATCACTGCTGCTAAGACTCTCTAGCATACATTTCTGTAGAAAGACAACCATGAGCAATAATACAGTTATTATACAAGTTGACCCTTCCATCTTTCCTCCTCCTCTTGGCTCACAAAGCATCTCCCTGGTCTTCCCTCCAGGTTCACAGACCTTCCCTGTGCTTGGCGGAGTCAGAGCCTTTCAACAAGATGTTGATCACAGTTGCAAAATTTCACATGACATAGAGATCCTGAGAGAATCCGAACCTTACTTTTCCACATGCTCAATATAGCTCTTACATTCAAGCTTATGAAACTGAAATTCCAACATTTATGGACACACCTGAAATATCACTAGTGTGACCAAGTAATTCTGTGGTTTTTGTGGGGCTTTTTAAAAATATAACACATTAAATATTGTTTGAAGTATATTGATTATAAATAGGCTGATCTGAGTAGTGGCTACTCCACTGGAACATTCAGCTCTAAGAGCTCCAATGATAAGGAAAAGACGCTGAGCTGCTGTTCAGGTTTTTCTTTATTGCAGAAGATTTGATGGTCTCATATGCTCAGTCATATGTAGGTATACCTGGGGCTCTTGGACACAGGCCAGGCATTGGGAGAGTGCTTGTGGACATTTCAATAGTAAAGTGAACACTCAGATTTAAAGAAAATTCCCAGAGGGGGCTCACTTGTAGGCAGAGGTGAAGGCATGGCCCTGCACACCTGTACTACAAGTAACCAGAGGGTAGGCACAGAGGGGAGAGAGGACATTCCCTCTCTTCATGAGCCTGTCTTTCCCGTCCCTGACTCAGATGACTCAAACAAGGTAGTGCAAGAGGCTCATTAGGAAGTGCAAGATTTGGGCACTGAAAACCATTGTACACTGTTGAGAGAAAGAAGACACAAGTAAATGGAATGGCATAGCATATTCACAGACTGGAATATTTAGTGCTGTTGACCTTATACAACTAAAAGTGATGTACATATATATTGAAACCACTCACAAAATCTCATTTCAACTTTATACAAATGGGGGAAAAAAAAAACAAACCCAGAATACTAATACTTATGGAACCTAAAAGAAACTCAAAGAGAAAAAGTCTTGAGAGCAAAGAACAATGGGGCCTTAATGCTTCCTGAATTCAATCCACATTAGAATGCCACAACAGTCAAAACAGTGTTGTACCAGCAACAAAATAGGAAGGAAGAGACCAGGGAACCATAAAAAGGGAAT